GTGGGAATAATCTTTGACTTCTGCTTCTCCCCTTTCTCATCAAAACAGCAGCTACTGCTGGAAAACACGACTTCCCTCTAACAAGATTTGGCATTAGAGTTCTAGAAGAATTCAAGGCCTGGAAAGAAAGAAAGATAACGTGAAGAATTCATCTGCAAAGGAAGAAAAAAAATACACCACAAACTTTAACAACAGAGCACGCTCTCCCCATTCTGGTATCAAACTCTCCCTATTCTTAACTCTCTTCTCTCATCTGCTGATAAACTTCACACTTAGACACCAGCCATTTCACAGTCTCTCCACAGGACAGCCCTCAAGGACAGAGCCTCAAAGTCTCAGCCCAGAAAGTTCCTTCTGCATAGAAAAATGGAGGTATTTTTAATCTAAGAGTGAAATATGGTTAAGTTTCTGTGACTCACCTAGTTAAAGTGACTTTTAAATGAGTAAAGCAAAAAAAAAAATCACAAAAACAAAAAGCACTAAGACTTACCCCTATATGAACATAAAGAACAATGGATTGTACTTGCTCGTGAGAAAGCTTGGGAGCTTTCTAGTTTTCTCCCAGATCTACAAAAGCATAGAAAGTGTTGTCCCTTTCTATGGCCCAATGGATCAGTACCTCAGACTCTTCTAGGGTTCAGCCAACAAAATTGATAACGACGAGATGCAGGATGGTGTTGGCAAAGAGGAAATCGGCGAATGCCCGCTCTGGTGAAATGCCTTGGAACTCGGCTTTGTTCTGGGGGTTAATCTGGATCCTGAGACAAACTGTATGGCAGAGAGAAAATGGTACATCAGAGATCACAAAGGGAATTCTTGGCATGAAACACGGCCTTGCTAAGGCAGTCCACCCTGGTCCAGGTCATTGTTCCTCCAAGATATAACAAGCGAAACCAACTTCATCATTGTTACAAGAAAGGCAGAACACTGACAGGGGATTTGCATGTGGCTGACAGGCAGCCAGTTCTCTCACAGCACTGCACTATTAGAGATGGCCATGGAAAATCTGAAGGAAGTGGGCTTACAAATGGATTGGCTTGGCACAGTCAAGGAGCCAGTAAAACACCGTAGGTTGTGCTGGGAAGGGCTGCGCAGGGACAAGATGTTTTTAAAAGGGTGCATTTTAGGGGAGCACCATCCTGAAGCAGTTATTTCTAGAGTTGGGTTCACTGTAGGATGAACACTAAGGAAAGAAATCAATACACAATGGTAAAAGGGAAGATTCCCTGACCACCCTGGAGAAGGAGGGACACATGGGGCTCAAGAGGAGCTGTGATGTGTGGTGCACAAACGTAAGTTCACAGTCTGCTGCAGACCATCTTGCTGGGGGGCAGTTGCTATGGCAACTTTCTGGTTTCTAGAGAGGGTATGGAATTACCCAAGGAATGCCAAGCAGCAGCACTGCCTGGTTGCTGGACAAGCTGGGGGCTGCTGATCCCTGGGCTGGGGTTTGGCCAAGGGGGTCTGCAGTTGGTGTCAGAGCTGTCATCCAAAGGGACTCTGACAAACTCAAAAGGTGGGCCCACATAAACCTAATAACATTCAACAAAGCCAAGTGCAAAGTGCTGCACTTGAGTCAGAGCAATCCCAGATACGTACACAGTCTGGGAGAAGTTCCTGAGAGCAACCCTGTGAAGAAGGATTTGGGGGTCCTGGAAGAGGAAAACCTTAACATGAGCCAGCAGTGTGCACCTGCATCCCAGAAAGCCAGCAGTTTCCTGGGCTGCATCAAAAGAGGGGGGCCATCAGGGTGAGTGAGGGAGGTGATTGTCCCCCTTTGCTCTGCCTTTGGGAGACCCCATTGGAGTATTGCATCCAGGTTTGGGGCCTCAACACAAGAAAGATGCGGAGTTTTGGAGAGGGTCCAAAGGAGGGCCGTGAGGGCTGGAGCACCTCTCCTATAAATTCAGGTGGGGGGAACTGGTCTTGTTCAGTCTGGAGAAGACTGCGGGGAGACCTCATTGTGACCTTCCAATATTTAAAGGAAGATTATAAACAGGAAGGAAATCAACTTTTTACATAGTTAGTGATAGACGAGAGAAAACAATTTTAAACTAAAAGAGGGGATGAGATGTCACAAATTTTTCACAGAGAAGGTGGTGAGGAGCTGGAACAGGCTGCCCAGAAAAGCTGTGGGTGCCCCACTCATGGAGGTGATCAAAGGCCAGGCTGGACTGGGCCACTGGCAATCTGACCTGGTGGTTGCAACCAGCCCACACTGAGGGGCTGGAACTAGGTGATCTCTGAGACCCTCTGAGACCCCTTCCAACACAAGCTGTTCGTACGTGTTTCTACGTGGCCGTTACTGAGGGAGCTCCGATAGCTACGGGGCTTCGTGCACTGCCGGGAGCTCCCTGCGTGCTGCGGGAGCTTCGGGCAGCGCCACGGAGAAATCCTAACGGCACGCCGTGGGCGTCGGGGGAAACCGCGCGGGGTTCTCACTGACCGCCGAGGATGAAGCTGCCGACGGCGGAGATAAAGCCGCTGAGGAAGGAGTTGAAGGGAAAGGTGCCGACACCCAGGCAGTAGCCAAACTGGAGCGCCCCGGTGAGCATCACGTACAACAGGTATGCGTCCAGCACCTTGAGGCGGCTCGACGTGCCGCTGCCGTACTCCGCCAGGAAGCGCCGCACCACAAAAGCTACAGAGCCCGCAGCCCCCGAACCCGCCGCGCCCGACATGATGCCGCCCCTGGACAAGCTGAGGTGGCCGGAAACAGAATGGATAAGCTTCCGGGACACAGACGAACAACGCAGGCGCGTGGCCAGGCCACTTTCGGGTCAGAGGTAGTGCGCAGGCGTAGTTGTCCTGCCCACAAAAAGGCGGAACTGAGGTGTTACTAGAGATAATACGCATGCGCATAACTACTTGCCGGACTGGCAGTTTTTTGTTTTTTTGTTTTTTTGTTTTTTTTTGTTTTTTTTTTTTTTTTTTAAACCAGCGCGTGCGCAGAAGCCCGCCAGCCTCCAGAGGCGTCCTTGTCCGAGCTCAGCTGGGGGGGCGGTGGTGTTGCTTGTCGGGACGCGGCGTGGGGTTCATCTGTGTTTCTCTACAGCGCCTGGCACGCTGAAGTCCCAGCAGTCCTGCAGAAAGCTGAGACCTGAGTGTGGGGGTTTTCCCAGTCTTAATCTGCAGTGCCCAGTATGGGGCCTGGGACTTTTCTCCCCAGCCCGTTGTCTGGTTTTGGGGCATCCCTGGGAATATTCACATTCTTTCTGGTCAGCACAGCAGCGGCGAGATGTCTGTGAAGATGTCCAAACGCCATCCTTCCTCCAGATGCCCTCAACTGTTACTTTTGTGTGGGTCCCTTCATATTTATGTCCAGAGAGAAGCATTGTGGTGATGGGGTGATGGTTGCAGTTGGTGATCTTAGAGTTTTTTTCTAACCCTAATGATTCTATGATTGTATGATTGAGAACTGCGGTGTTTCCTCTCCACCTTACCCAGCTCTCTGCAGTAAGGGAGTACAGAAAATGTATCTCCTCCAGGTCCACCAGCAATTCTCCCTGGGTTGGTTTATCTCATACCTGGACCAGGAGCCTCCTGGATGGTTTGCAGACCACCATGTTGCTTTCCCAGCAGATATCCAGGTGGTTGAAATCCCTCATCAGGATGAGAGCTTGTGAAGATGATGCTTGTAGTTGAAGCAAGAAGTTCTCATCAGCAGGATTCTCTTGATCAGGCAGCCTATAGCAGGCCGTGACCACCAAATGTCCTGTCTTGGCACAGTCCCTAATTTTTACTCACAAGCTCTCAATCTATTTATGGCTGGTTTTTTTAGAGGCAGTCCTTTGCAATCTATCCATTCCTTCACACAAAGCGCAAAGCCCCAGCTTCTCTTTCCCTTCTGAAAAACATGCAGCCCTCATTTGCGGTGTTCCACTTGTGTGATTGTCATGCCTACATGCCATGGTCTATGTAAGATCCCTACACACATAACTTCATATAGTCACAGTTCCTTTCTTCGCTGGCTAATGCTTCACGCTTTCCTCCTCAGCTGATGACGTATTGTGGCAGATTCCCATTCGATCAGAACAAGAGTTGATACTGATATCAAGTATGTTCACCTGTAGTTTTGGGTCTGCTCACAGTTTAGCAGTGAGTGGCTGCATGAGCAGATAGTGAACTGGGGAAGGAGCATCATTTAGCACATGCTTGTGGTAAACTGCTTGCTAATGGATTGTAATTGCTAATGCTTGTGCTTCAGGAATAAAAGTCTCCTATACCCCTTCCTAGGGTTTTCCCAGTATTGCAGATGAGCACGTTAATATATCTTTCTCATTATTTAGAATTTTTTTAAAGAAATGAAGATGCTTAAGGAGAGCACCTAGATGGTCCACAGAAATCCTGGGATGGACAGCTGCTCAAGATGATGATTCACCCAAACTGAAATACATATTACTTTTAGGCTGGGACTGTGACTGGAGATGCTGAAAACAGGCACAATTAGAAGAGCTTACCCTACTGTATGCTATGATGACTTTCCAGACTTTCAGGAGGGAAAGCTTCTAGGCAGGGGCAGAACTAAACCACATTTTCACCTCTCGTTCCCTGTATGTAAGGACCTACTGGCTACACCAGAATACTCCAGAGTATCTTGAGCAAATACTGCACTTTCCTCTAATTTTCAGGATAAAGCCATGATTTTCCTGGTGCCTGGGCATGAGAACCCAGGTCTGAGTGTCACTTTTTTCACCCCATATGCCTTGTCTCCCTTTTCATTCTGGAAACCCTTACCTCACAGGAAGACCAACAGAAGGTTCAACTCTTTCACTTTTCCTTCCATAACCTGAGCTCTGGATCTAAAACACTGGAATGCTTTAGCCACTTCCAGCTTTCCTTGTGGTATAGAAATAATCCATTTTTTGGAAAGTGTCTCCTTTGACATTTCAGGGATGGAACGATAGATGATTGTTTTTCTGCATTTTGCACTTGTCTGTTCCAGACAGAAAAGATGAGTCTTAAAGGAAGAACAGTGTTTATTTTGGGAATCACTTAGTGCAATGGAGTGAAAACATTAAAGCTGTGAAGGTAGATCATTAACAAACCAGTAACTTTCCTGCTGTAGCTAGAATAAGTCAGCTATCAACCATCAGCCTGGGCAGATGCTGCTACAGCTAAGATCAAGGCTTTGTCACATGTTGTAGCTTGCAGAAAATTCACTGTTTATTGGAAGATGAATCAGACACTTTGCCAACATGGATGGCAGGAAGTGTGGTGTAGCACATTCTCAGTGGGAGTTATGGTTACTATGCCTTTTGTCAACACCTCTAAACATTCATCTTTTCTAGTGTGCATGGCAGTCCTGTATCAAGAGAGAAGCCATCTGTGAGCAGGCCAGTAGCCCATTTTGCCAAAGCTGGATTTGGAAAGGGCCATCACTCCATGAAAAAAGTTATGCTTCCCTTCCACTCCCACCTCCAGCTAAAACAAGCATGGTGGAGGTTGTGAACTATGTTTTCTGTTGTGCTCAGCATGATGCAGATGCAGCCCAGCCAGTAGGAGACATCTCACAAATAATGAGAATTCATCTCTTATCCTAGCTGGTAGCAGCAGTGGGGTTACAGCATGGCAGGTAAATTTAAGCTATGCTTTGTGGTCCTATTATTTTCCACAGGTGCTGATGTTCTGTATGCTGATATTGAGCTCATTGCCTAAAGATGCTTGGATTTACACTGATCCCAAGGAGGGTGTTACTTGCCTCCAGGCACTTGTCCAGCTGAGACACTGCAATGAAGGAGAGATGGGGAGTGAGGCAGGAAGGAGGGCCCACAGAAGGAAAGGAGAAAGAGGACATAGGACTATTCCACCTGCCCTCAGGAAATTGAGGTCCTGTAAAGGGGTAAGGCAAATGCCATTGGAGAGAATGGGAAGGAGGCTCTGCTGTGTAGATCTGCAGGAAAAGGACCCTCAAGGCTTACCAGCTCGGTTGCACAGCCACATGAATCCACATACTTGAGAGAGGAAGAGAGAGGAAGTTGATGGTGGCATCTGTTTAGGTGCTGTGAAACAAGACATGAACAGGGAATCACAGGAAGATGATTCCTCTCCATTCCCGTGTGCAATGCCCCAGAACACTTCTCTCTACTCTTCCTCAGGCAGCTACCTGCAGACTGAGGCCTCCCTGCATGTCCTCAATGTAGTCTTGTCCCCAGCCCTTTTTGGACATCCCTTACTCATCCCTCTTCCCTTGACATTTCTGCCCAGCCAGGTGCCCCAGTGGTCTCCTGACATCCTAAACAGATATCGTCCAAATGTGCTTTCATGCTGAAGCACTGGCCCTGACACTTCTATGGGCGTCCTTGACCTGGATCCTATGATTGCTGAAGGACTTTCAGCTTTAAGAATAATTAAGGGAAAACTCAAACTCATTAGTTTCAAGACCAAGAGCAAGACGTGTAGAAAAGCAAAGTAACACTCCTATCAGACATTAATTAATCCCTGTATTTCCTATCTGTGTCAAAGTCCCATACCTTCTTTGTGAGCCCCAAGCTGGAATAAGTTAGCAGTGCCATTGGTGAGTTGCTTGATGGCAATCCATGACTCCTGCAGTGCAGTGTGCCAGCTAGGTGGGTACCATATGGTCTTAGGAAAGCAGGAAGTGCCAGTGAGGGAGCCATGAAGCAAAAGGATCTTGCAGGGAACGAATGACTGGCGAGGTGGCAGCAGTGCCAGGGGCCCTTTGAGAGCAAAGAGGGAAAGGATCTAAATTAAGGTCATGGGGAAGAAGCACCTGTTGATGATGGGGCTTATGCATATTGTGGCTGGACTTCTGGCTCCTGTGGAATGAGAACAACACATGGAAATACCTCTCCAGTTCTTTTCCCCAAGTGTCTTTCCTTACCATGGTACCAGGGGGCCCTCCGTGATGTACGAACACCCACATAGCTGGTTAAGGGGCAGATGATCCCAGATGTGAGACTGATTTCGATGGCACGCTGCACTGGTTCATCCCCTGATCCGCTCGCAACCTCTGGCAACAGCTTCTCCAGCAAATATCTTGCAGCCAGACGATGACCAGCCATCCTGGGGACAGAGTGAGGTGAGGCCTGACATCCTGGGGAAGAAAGGGCCTGGGTTCTCTCCTTTCAGGAGTGAGGATGGGCAGAGGGAAGACCTGGATGCATGGACCCTTTTGTCTTGGAGGAAGTGATGCCCATGTACCTGGGTCCTGTCCACGTGGGTTCAAAACAGGGAAGGAGACCATGCTTGGAGAACTGGATTCTCTCCCAGTTTGGCGTGGTGTGTGGAAGCTGTGAATGTGTGAGCTATCTGTGTCCTGCTTAGCTGGAGTCCACGTGCAGAAAACAAGGAGATGCTCTTACTGGCCATCTCCCTGTGGGCATAGTGGGAACTGGATCTTGTGAGTGACGACCTGGCCATTCAGGTTGAACTGCAAGGTCATGACACCACTGGCCTCCTTCATATTCTGGAAACACATGTGAAATTACTGGAGACACAGATGGCTGCTGGGGGCTATTTGGAAGTTACTGGAAGATTACCAGTGGTTATTGGGAGGTCATTGGAAGGTAACTGTAGTTAACTGGGATGGTAGCCCCAGCTCTCACCTGTTCCTTTCCATGGATCTGTGCATAGAGGAAGATATGCTGACTCTGAAAGATGAACTGAGGGGTGCCTCCCAGCACCTCAACCTCCAGGCCAGAGGGCAAAGTCCAGTCCAGAGAGACTCCCTCAGCTACTAGCTTGAGGGCCTGCTTCAAGCATTTCAGCACCTGGGGAAAAATGGCAGGACACCACAATCTGGGAACTCCGTTAGAGTTGAGCATGTGGTCCCTCTGGGTTCTTAGTGGACACGGATATGATTGGTGTTCCAGTGTTGGCTGGGGTAGAGTTAATTTTCTTCCTAAGAGCTGACACAGTGCTGCATGTTGGATTTAGGATGAGAATCATGTTAATAACACGTTGATATTTTAGTTGTTGCCACGCAGTGCTTACATTAAGTCAAGGATTTTTCAGTTTCTCAGACTGCCCTGCCAGCAAGAAGACTGGGGAAACACAAGGAGCTGGGAGGGGGTAAGACCAGGACAACCAACCCAAACCAGCCAAAGGTATATTCCATACCAAATGGCATTGTGCTAAATGATAACACTGGGAGGGGGGAGCTAAATGATAACACTGTCTGTGACAGAGACTGCTGTCTGGGGACTGGCTGGGCGGTGAGCAACAGCATTGTGCATCACTTGTTCTGTATATTCTTTTATTATTATTATTATTATTACTATTATTATTATTATTATTATTATTATTATTATTATTTTCCCTTTGTTTTCTGTCCTGCTAAACTGCTGTTATCTCAACTCATGTGTTTTCCTTTTCTTCCAGTTTTCTCCCACATCCCACTGGTGGAGACTGAGCATGTTGCTTTGCTGCCTGCCAGGTTAACCACAGCAGATGGCCTGCACCAGCTAGCTTTCCTGGGAGCAGTCAGGTCTGTGAACTATAGCAGGAAAGAAGCCTGTTGTAAGAAGAAGCCAGGTACACCTACCTGGTGTAGGGAACCTGCTTTGGCAGGGGGGTTGGACTCGATGATCTCTGGAGGTCCCTTCCAACCGCTACCATTCTGTGATTCTGTGATTCTCTGTGAAGCCTGGGCATTGGATTTCTCAGTGGAGTGAGGCAGTTGGGTAGAGTCAGGGAAGCCTGGGTGCCTGGGTTCCCAGGGGCAGCTGGGTCTTGGCTGCCATGACTGGGTTGTCCAAGAACCTGGAAGGCTGTGCATTTGTGGAACAGAGGGCAGCAACCAGGGCTTCCAGGTTCCTACCTGAACTGTCGCATTGTCAGAAGAAACATAGACAGCTTCACCCTTTGTCTCCCTGGCAAGAGCTGTGGCCAGGGTAGCACTGTCCGTGGAAAAACACAAGGAGAAACACCTATTGCAGAATCAAGGAAAGGCTTCAGAAATGGGAGCCGAGCATAAATGCAAGCATGCAGGGAAAAGAGCTAGAGAATACTGGAGTTATAGCTGGGGATACAAATCTGGGGTGCAGAACAAGAGGGCAGGAGGAATGTCAGCGAGTGGACTGAAGGAGCTGGTGTTAGACAGGGAGCTGTCAGAGGAGAGCTGGAGCTTGGGGCAGATCTGGGGCCAGTCTAGTGGGATGGTACAGGAGTGTACAACCCTGTACCTCAATCTCCCTGCTCACTTTGTGAAGGGTGCCTTGGGTATGGGAGTATTAAGCAAGGACTCCCCAGTGGAGGTTTTGATACTGGATAGAGCTATGAGATAAGTCTCTGGACAGTGAATGGGCCGAAGGACTGAGACAGGTGAACAGAGGTCCTCATCCATGATGGGAAAAGATCGTGGACTGACTGAAAAACTGGGGGCAGAGCCCGCATTACCGGTGGCTGTTGCGATGACGGCAGACCTCAGCAGCAATGGCTTCCTTGTCAGGTGGTAGCCCAGACATGAACATGAAGAGCTGGGGTACAGGAGACATCAGTGGTGAGCCTTTGCACAAGAACCTCCAAATGGGGACAGCAGGTCCCTGAAATGGAGAAAAGGGTCCAGGAGAGAGATCCCCTGTAGAGAAGCTACCCTCAGAGAGATATCCACTCAGGGACAGAGACCCCTTGAGATGCAGAACCATTTTTTCTGCACTCTTCTACACCTCACAGTATCCTTCTTGTTCACCTATGACCAACATTCCCCTTAGGTTGCTCAGTCCACTCCCCCCTCCATCCCCCATTTCCTATGTTCTCTCTGTGCCCCTGGGACATCTATCCTTCCATCCTTCCATGGCCCTGTGCCCAGACCTGGCGTGCATGTCCACAGGGGCAGGGAGTGTTGTAGATTGTGCGGAGAGTTCCCAGCAGGTCTGTGTCATCCAGCCTGGAGCCAATTGTGGGAATGAGTTGCATTGCTTCATTCAGGTTGTCCTGGGTGTATTCAACACTCTGCCTGCAGCAGACAAATGTGTTTGGAGAGCACATTCATAGAATCATGGAATGGTTTGGGTTATAAGGGACCTTAAAGATCATTGAGCTCCAACACCCCTGCCATGAGCATGCTTGCCAACATGGCCCTGTGCTGGTCCCAGTGCTCTCTGAGACCCACTACCGTACCTGTACCCCATCATTTTCTGCAAGACCCTGCCCCCTACTAGTTCATAAAGAGATCTGGAGTCCTAGTTTCTACAAGACTCTTCTCAATAGAACCATAAGAGATGCTTTCCCATATTGCCACAAAGATCCTCTCCCCAGAATCCAGCCCTGCCCTCCAGTACTGCCTCCAGTCACGCCTTCCAGTACCCAACATTGCCCCATACCAATCAGCCTATTTCAGAGCATCCCAGTGTGCTCTCTGACATTGCCCCATACCAATCAGCCTATTTCAGAGCATCCCAGTGTGCTCTCTGACATCTCATTCTGCCTCATAATATCTATCATAACCCCATAGTACCCAGCCATGCTCCGCAGTACTGAGCTTTTCCCACCAGCTACATAGCACTCATCCTGCCCCATGTTTGCTTACGGGTAGATGCGCACAGATGTTGCTCCATAGCAGTAAATGTTGAAGTAGCAGCCCAGGGGTAGGCTTTTGAGAAGGAAGAGCAAGGGGTCCTGTGGAAAGACAAAGCAGGCTTGTCTTGGATGATACTGGTGGGGAATACAGATGCCCTGGTCCTTAGATTTGTCCTGTCAAATCTCAGGCTCTGCTCCCTCTCAGCCTACTCTTTCACTCCAGTTTGGCCCCGCTTTGTGAAGGTACCTTTATGTGCTCAAGGGAAGTGCTGTCCAAAACAAAGATGAACTCTCCAGACTGGCACTGGCCAGGTTTTGCATAGAATCACAGAATCACCCGGGTTGGAAGGGACCTCAAGGATCATGTAGTTCCAACCCCCCTGCCTAGCAGGGCCACCAAACACACACATTCAGATCAGGTTGCCCAGGATCCTGTCCAACCTGGCCTTAAACACATCCAAGGACGGGGCATCCACAACCTCCCTGGGCAGCCCGTTCCAGGGCCTAACCACTCTCCTTGTATAGAACTTCCCCCTAACATCCAACCTAAATCTTCCCTCCTTCAACTTCGATCCATTTCCCCTAGTCCTGCTGTTGTCAGCCCTTTTGAAGAGTTTACTCCCCTCGTGGGTGTAGGTTCCCTTCAGGTATTGATAGGCTGCAATGAGGTCACCCCGCAGCCTTCTCTTCTCCAGGCTGAACAAGCCCAACTCCCTCAGCCTGTCCTCATAGGGGAGGTGCTCCAGCCCCCTGATCATCTTAGTCGCCCTCCTCTGGACCCTTTCCAAAATCTCAATGTCTTTCTTGTACTGAGGGCTCCACACCTGGACACAGTACTCCAGATGGGGCCTCACAAGAGCCGAGTAGAGAGGGACGATCACCTCCCTGTCCCTGCTGACCACCCCTCTCCTGATGGAGCCCAGGATCCCATTTGCCTTTCGAGCTGCCAGAGCGCACTGCTGGCTCATGTTCAGTCTCTCGTCCATCAGGACCCCCAGGTCCTTCTCTGCCGAGCTGCTCTCAAGGACCACTCCTCCCAGCCTGTACGGGTGCCTGGGGTTCTTCCGGCCCAAATGCAAAACCTTGCACTTTGCCGTGTTGAACCTCATTAGGTTCACCCGAGCCCAGCCCTCCAGCCTGTCGAGGTCCCTCTGAATGGCATCCCTTCCTTCCACCGTATCAACCGCACCACTCAGCTTGGTGTCGTCAGCAAACTTGCTGAGGGTGCACTCAATTCCCTCATCGATGTCATTAATAAAGATGTTAAAGAGCACCGGTCCCAAGACAGACCCTTGGGGGACACCACTTGTTACCGGCCTCCACCTGGACATAGAGCCATTGACCACCACCCTCTGTCTGCGGCCTTTCAACCAGTTTCTTACCCATCGGGTCGTCCACCCATCAAATCCACTTCCCTCCAATTTGGAGATGAGGATGTGGTGGGGGACCATGTCAAAGGCCTTGCTCAGGTCCAGGTAAATGACATCAGTCGCCTTCCCTTCGTCCACCAATGCCGTCACTCCATCATAGAAGGCCACAAGATTAGTTAGGCATGACCTTCCTTTGGTGAAGCCGTGCTGGCTGTCTCGGATCACATGCTCATTCTTTATGTGATCGAGCATGTTGTCCAGGAGGGATCGAGCATGTTGTCCAGGAGTGATCGAGCATGTTGTCCAGGAGTGATCGAGCATGTTGTCCAGGAGATGCATCAGGGATGTTGGGTGCCAGTGTCACCAACACCAGGGAATCACCAAACAGAGAGCCTGGAGGAGATACACAGTGCAATGAAGCGCAGTTTGGGATCACTTTCCTCATCCTGGTTCTGTTCCTCATTGTTGTCTCAGCATCCACCATCCCAGAGACCCTGATACCCCATACTGGTGCACTGATACTCTACTGCACTGTCCACCAATTGCACAGCCCAGTGTCCCATCAGCTCAGTGCCTCCAATACAGTTACCCAGTGAGCCCTAATATAAAGTTCCTTGTACCCATCCTGGTAGATCTAGTACTTCATGACAGTGTATCCAGCACCGGCCCCCCCCCCCCCCCCCCCCCCCCAGGAGCCCTAAGACCCCCACCAACTCACCTGGATGTCTCTCATGTAGTCCAATGAAGCCTCTCATCCCACAGTCCCCACTGTCTCCCTGTGCCCCAGCACCTCCTGATACCCAGAGGTGCCCCTGCATTCCCTCTTCAACTGAACTCACCTGCAGTGGCTGCAGGGTTTCCTTTCTCCACCACAGCACTGACTGCAGTAGGTTCTCTGTAATACACCAGCAGCTCCAAATGGTGATTTGGGGGAGTGCCAGCCAGTGAGACCTGGAGAAGGGTTGCCTGGTCTTATGCAGGAGGAAGTGACTCAGGCCCAGCATAATGCTGGGAGCACAGCACTGATCCCAGTGCATTCCTTTTGGCTCAGTAGCGATGCCACCTGACAGCTCCCAGAATTCTGGAATTCAGCAGGGTGTACCTGTGCAGCACTGTGGTCCTGGGCAGTGTAGATCAAAGGAGTGAGGGCACAGCTGGCCTGGACATCAGCCACACCACGGGGTGACTGCAGGCTGACAGTGAGCAGGAGGCTGTAATGCAGCTTGTTGGTGCAACAATTGCAGGCTGTGGGCAGAAATATAGCATAAAGGAGAGCACTGGCTCTCCATGCAGTGCGTGTGGGATTTGGCATCCATATATAGAACATGTGGAGAGAACTGGGGATGTCAGTAAATTTTTGGAAGTGTCTCTGAGTTTTATTTATGGGGAACTCATGAGGGAGATACGGATCCACTTCAAAATACACAAGGAAGAAAGCACAGATCTGCTCAGGGGCTGCATTGTGGCAAAATATCAGTGGGTGCAAAGGAGGTTGCATTGGGTCTGTTCACAGAGTGAACTGGGAGTATGGTTCTTCTCTAGGGCACGTGACTGTCAGGGCAGGTTTCCTTTAGGATTACTCACTGTAGTGAGTCTTGCGAGGATGCATTGTGGATGGCAGCACAAACTGGGCTGCTCCATCTGGCTTCCGTGATAGCTCTTGGACATAGTGTAGGGTCACAACCATTTCCTTGCCAGGGGACAGGGAACCCAGGAAGCAGGCAAACACCTCGCCTGATTCCTCAATCCCATACTGAAGGTAATGAAAATTCTCCTTCTCCACTGCAAACTTGTGCAGCTGCTGGGCCTGGATGGGAAGGAGAGGAACAGAAAGCTGATTGCTAACCAGGCCATGGGCTGCTCATCCCATGCTGCTCTCACGGTTCTCCCATTCTTTCCCAAATGCTGGTACCTCATCCTGCAGCACAGCCTTGACCTTGGCATCCTCACTGCAGGCCTGGAAGGAATAAATGGCCATATGGGGGCCCAGGGGGAAGACAAAAGTAACTTCTGAGGATCTCAGACTCTCGTTATGGTAGATCAGTTCAGAGACCACGTCAGCTACGTAGTCCTGGATGGCAACATCCACCACAGCACAAGAGAGGGGCAGTGAGCACAGGGGTACGTAGAACTCCTTTCCCAACAAAAAGGATCCTGGTTCTGTTGAGAGAATTGCAACCTTTCCATCCAAACCCACGAACAACACACTGCTTCAAGTGTGTGGCTTCACATTATGGAATGTGAAGCTGACAGTTCAGTGTTGCACAAGGAGAGATTCTCCCCCCTCAAGGGCAAAAGGGAATCATAAGTCGTTGTGCATGGATTAGATATAGCATTGTTGAGGATCTAATATAAGCCTGCCATAAGAAATTTCATCTGCTTGTGTATCCCAGTTTCTTTTCCCCATCAATGCCTCTGTTCCCCACCCCAATGCTGTAGACCTCTTCACCATTCCCATCCTTGTTTCCCTTCACAAGATCCAGTCCAGACATTTCCCACTACAGCAACCTATCCTCCTCCTTTCTTTACCTCTTTTTGAGGGCATCCCCTATCCCCTAAATGTCCCTCAGCTGTCCGATTCCCCCCTCACCATTGATGTCGCTTTTTCCTAAAAGTCCAAAGCTCTGATGCCACATCTCTGGAGACCTGCAGACAGGAAGGGGTCTCATGTAAGAGGAGAGATCCACAAACACCACCAGGCAACCTCTGGGTGGTCAAGATTCCTTGTAATTTCACCATGCTTACATACAAGCCTGGAGGCCCTAAGCCACTGTGCATAACCAGAGCAAATCCAGGGATTCAGAAATCCCTGTTCATAAAGACTAACCAGGAGTATAATTGCATTAAAGAGGTCTGCACCTCATTCCCATCATGGGAGAATTCTGAAGAGAGATGAAGAATAGCAAAAGGAGATAAAAGGAAAGAAGGTGTGAAAGCAAGAGTGGATGGGTGGATGGGCGGGTGGATGGATGGGGGGCAATACATATCAGCATGGGATCCATTTGGGGACAGGCAGATGCAGAAGTATACAGAGGTAAGAATTTTTGTTAAATAGATGGATGGATGGATGGATGGATGGATGGATGGATGGATGGATGGACCAACAAGTGGATGGAAGAATGGATGGGTGGATGGGTGGATGGGTGGATGGATGGATGGATGGATGGATGGATGGATGGATGGATGAGAAGGTGGACGGATCCATTTTAGAAGAGATGAGTGGGTACCCATCATAAACAGTATAGCGTGAATATAGCTGCACAAGGGATTGCACCTGTGAAGTATATTCGTGGAGTAACTCACAAGGGCAGACTGAAAGGCCAGGCGGTGTGGAGGAACACAGTGGAGAGAGAATTTAAGCCAGGGTCAGGTATTCCATTGTGGCAGAGCAAATAAATCCCGGAAAGGCACCAGTGGGAGGGTGTTGTTAAATAATGTTTTGCTGCCCTCTGGCAAAGTATCTGCAGATGAATGGGCTTCCTCAGCTCTACCCAAACCCAACCATATGTCTCTCTGATACGGATACATTTGCCTCACTTCCCACAGTTCCTGCTCTGAGGTGGCAGGATGAGCAGCATCAGAAAAATTCCCACTCTGCCATCATGCCGACAGCGGACAGGCAGAGCAAATAGCGTGCACATCCTCTGGGAAGTAGGGATGAGGAATGGTCAGAGGGATTAACTGAATAGGGTCAATCTCATCCCAGTGAGTGGAGACAATGAACAGAGAACAGAGAGAAAGTAACAAACTGAAGGACAAACAAGCAGACACTCACCAGAATAATGGCCTAGGTCATCAGCTGGGACGAGACAGACAGTCAGATGTAGGGAGGGAGAGATGGAAGGAAAACAAGGATAGAGAGTAAGAGGCAGATGGATGAGATTTGAGGCGGAAGGGGGAGGGAATAAGAGACGGAGCAAGAGATGTTCAGGCAGATAGGAAGATGCAGGGCTACGTAAATGCGGGGAAATGCGGGGACGTCTGCAGTGAAGACAGAGGAGAAAGGGCGGAGAGACGAGAGGATGGACGAGGGGAGGCGGGCAGGGGCGGGGACAGGCGAGCGGGGGGGGGGGGGGGCGGGAGCGGACCCCTGGCATCTCTCTCCAGAGCATCTGTGGAGGTTGTCCGCCATCCCAGTTGAAGAGCTAAGGTCTTCTTTTGAAGAGCAAAGGAATGACACCGGGACTTAATGTGACATAATCTGGTCAGATCCTCATTTACTGTCAGTCTGCACAAGATATCAGAGGCTGTTAAATCCAAAGTAGGAAGCAGTCAGATGATGGCTGACCTTGGCCTGGTCTAGCGGTTGGTGACCTTGTCCATGGCAGGGGGGTTGAACATGGATGATCATTAATGGTCCTTTTCAACCCAGGCCATTCTATGATTCTATGATTCTGTGATTCTGTGATTCAATGATTCTGTGATTCTGTAATTCTATGACACCAGTCCCAGCTGTTGACAACGATGTAAAGAGTTGGCTTCTGCTGCTGAAGGCATAATTGTAGTCATCTCTCACAATCCTTTCTCATGAACACACACACATGTATGCATATACACACTCTGAAGTTCTCTGTCATTTCACATACTGGGGGAACCAAGTTGGCACCCCAGACACGAGTTCTTATTGAAGTTCTAGCTTGTCTGGCATGGCAGCACTCAGCAGTAGTGCAACTTCATTCAGATGGTCCAATGTTTACCTCCATTCTCCACCATACTTCCCCACAGGCCTTATGGGACTAATGTGAAGAGTGGGCGAGTCTTGCTGTTCACTCCTTGCCTTTCCAGTCAATGAATCAGCTTATGGATGGGGATCAGGGAGTTTCAGTTGGTGAGATATTGCACCAGTGCACAACAGTAGTAGTGATCGGCTCGTGCTTTTCTTCAGCTCTCAGCAGCCCCACAGTGGAAGGATCTTTTGAGAGTCCAAACAAGGTAGACAGCTGTTTCGTGTCTTCCTCCTCCAAAGCAGCTATATTTCAATACAGCTTTCAAGTGCACCCACTGGGGTCCTACCTCCTGAGGTAGTCCATGATAAGGATTCACGGAACATCCAGACTAGTCACAGTGGGGTGCTTCTGCCACTCCTTCCCTGGTGGTCTCACTTTGGCCTCCACTACAATTAGCTGTTGGGATTTCCATGTCATGCCAGAAAAACAGGTGGGTTCTGTCCATTTACAGCTTGGTGGCATTAGAGTGCATCAGCGTTGACTAGAGCCTTAAACATCATGGGTCTGATGTGCCAGGCCATTGAATCCACGCAGCTGGACAGACTCAGCTGTCTGATTCCTCCACCTGCTGGAGGCAGGACACCTCTAGTCCTGACTGTAGTATCCATCTTGTGTTCATCCTTGTAAATGCAAATCACAAGTCCCTTCTTTATGTTCAGAAGTAAGATCAGCCCATCTAACCTGCCTGGATAACTGATGACTAGAAACCACTGTGGCAATTTTCTTGGGAGAACTCCTTTTGTGATTGTTTTTCTTGCAGCTCCATTGCATGTCAATATTCTATATCCCCTTCAGCATGGTTAATTCCTTCACGTTCTGAATACTTTTTCTGCATAGTGGTCAACTTGCCTGCGCTACATGCCAGCTCTTTCTTGAAGGGATGTCTTTCCTTCCTGGCTGACAAGAGTCACCTCCAGAGGCTGAAGGCTTGTCTCCCTTTTGCAATTTCTTTGTCTTCGCCATCTTTCCTAGAGAGGGATCCAAGGGATATTCTTGCACATCTTGTAGCTCACCCATGGTTTGGGGTCAGATGGTTACTGCCTCCTTTATAAGTTCTACCTCCTGTTCTTGTCACTGTCCAGCTTATTGGAAGCCTTCCTCACCCTCTCCTTCTAACCTCTTCTTAGTAGAAGTTACTTTCCTTACAAAATGAGGTGAAAAACTTCACAACCATTGTTTCATCTTATGTAAAGGAGCAGCTGATACTTGCAAAGGTTTGTTGTCTTTTTGAAGGACTGTTGAAGGGGTTGGAGCAGTCACAGGGCCTGTCACAGAGTTTGGGGAAACTGCAGGGCTTCTTACAAGGGTTGGAGACACAGCATGGCCTGTGGAGCAACTGCAGATCCTGTTGCAGGGGCTGGAGCAGCGGCAAGGCCTGTCACAAGAGTTGGTGCAGTGTTGAGTGTGGCTCAGCAGGAACTCCAGCCCCAGGGACAGTAAATAGCACAAGGATCATATGCCATATAGTCTCTGAAATCTAAATCTAAATCTAAATCTAAATCTAAATCTAAATCTAAATCTAAAT